CTAAACTAGCATCTAATAATCTACTAGAAACTAATATAGAGTAGGTAGAAGGAGAGGCCTTTTATATACTAAAACTAGCTAGGCTCCTAGATAAAGAGAGAGTAGATATAGTTCTACTATAGGCTAGAGCTATACTAGAAGAACTACTAAGCCTTGCCTATTTATAACTAGACAGCTACTATATGTATTAGTAATATAGAGGCAAAGACAAAGGTAATCTAGCTATAGCCTAGGTAGATAAATCTATCTACTAGGTTCTTACTACCTCTAGCGCAGGTAATAAAGCTTTTAAAGTTACTAGAGAAGAAGCGTAGTAAGGCTAACCTAGAGGTAATACAGACGTAGTCCTTCTATTACTCCTATAGGACTATCTATATCTACTAGTTATATTCCTTAACGTAGGCTTCTGTAGTAGCTTAGTAGATCTTATACTATAGAGAGGCGTTACGTAGGTTACCCTTCTAGGTAAGACTATTAATATACTAGCCTAGTACCTAGAGTTAGAGGTTAAGGTTAGAGCTAGCCTTAAAGGAAATATTCTTCTATTAAAATATATCTTACAGGCCAGTGTTACTAACAGCTAGTAGCTACTACAGGTATAGGTAGATCTATAGTAGGCTAGTCTAGCTAGTAAGAAGTAGCCTATAGCTAGAGGTACTATAGAGTAGTAGCTATATTATACTATACTACTTAACAACCTACTTTATATTAAGGCCTTTCTTAAGCTTCTTAGTGTCCTAGCTACTAAACTACTCTTACTGCCTCTTCTTCTTCCTCTACTTTCTAGAAACGCTCTACTATATACTTCTATCTATAGTATAGTATTCTAGACTAGCGTTAAGAAGACGTAGTATAGCTAAGGTAAGAGCACTATATTAGTTCTTATTTACGTCTAGTGTACTAGACGCCTTAGAGCCTAGCGTATACTTAGTAGTAACCTTAATAATAAACTCTAGGTAAGCTAGCTAGTAGTTTATATCTACTATCTAGAAGTAATTAAGCTCCTCTATATTAAGAATCTAGAAGAGAAGGTAGGTTATTAGTATTAAGTCTCTTTCTTCTACTATACCTTACTTACTTCTACGCTAGTCTTCTAGCCTAGCCTCTCCTTACTCTTACTCTGCGTCTACCTCTTAGCGTAGGCCTAGGCTATCTAAGGGCACTACTAGTAGCGCTATACTATAGATATAGGCTATAAATAACTTATAGGTAATATAGTACTCTTTCTATACACTATAAGAGTACCTAGCTTAGCTAGATTTAGAGAGTACGCTCTAGACCTAGCACTTTATACTTTTATATATAGATACTAGGCACTAGAGGCTTACTCTATCTATACAGTTCCTTTCTATTCTCTATTAATACTACTCTTACAGCCTAGAGTTAGAGAGGCTAAGTCCTTCTAGGGCCTATTTTCTAAAGGGGAGGTAGTTCTTAATAGGTACTGTAAACTACTCCTTATTAATATTATAGGCCTTAATATCTACTATCCTACTAGTATATAGGTTAGACTACTTATATAGCTTAATAGTAAGAGTGCCTATATCCTATAACTCTTCTATAGGATAGGTAGTAGCGTAGTTCTTAGGCTGCCCTAGCTTCTATAGGCTATCCCTAACCTACTTATAGAGATAGGCTAGCTTTTCCAGAATAGTATAGCTAGGCTAGCTAGTAATTACCTCTTAAGTAAGATCTACCTAGTAGTAGCGCTAATCTACGTAGCCTAGGCACTCTATATAAAATATAGTGTTTATTATCTAGTTAAATGCGTAAAAGGTCTACAGCTGTAATACAGAGCAGGTGCCTTAAAGCTTAATATTATAGGCCTAGATAATAAGCTGTAGCTTATAAAAGACATTCTCTTAGCTATTATAGGTACCTATAATAGTAGAGCAGCGCTGCTAGATATTTACCTAAAGCCTATCTAGGTCCTTCTCTATAATTAGGTTAGCTAATATAATACTAGTAGTATTACCTACCTCTTACTCTATCTCTGCTTTAACGTATACTCTTACGTATATATCCTAGAAGCTAGTAGGATAGTACTGTATAATATTTATTCTTACCTCTTTATATAGAGCTAGATAGATAGCCTAGTTAAATAGTCTTTTTAGTAACTTATTATTTAGGTAGCTAACAGCGTCTTAGTAGCTCTTACCCTTAATAAATAAGTAGTAGGAAAAGAATAAGTAGGTAGTAAAGTTATAGCCAGCTAAAAAGACACTATATCTAAGCGTAATATACTTTATGCAGTACATAGAAGCCTTCTAGTTAACTATCTTTACCTTTTAATCTTACTAGATAGACTATAGGTAGTTTAAACACTAATATATATAGAAAGCTATTTAGTAGATAGTAAGGCTTCTTATTCTAAAGGTTACGCTATCTATATTAAACTACTGCTTAAGAGCGCCCCTCTATACTGTAAGTTACTAGAGAGCCTAAGACGCCTACTCTAACTTTTCTAGGCTTAGTTTTAGTAGCGCCTATCTAGGGCTAAGTATTCTATAGCTAGTAAGCAGCTTATCCTACTAGATCTACTTAGAAAGCTAGGAAGGTAAAGACTAGCTTAATTACGTAGTTTTATTAAATAGGAGAAATCTAGCTAGAGTAGCTATAGGTATATTATCCTTATCTTTTAGCTCTACTAGGATTAGGCTCTTAATCTGCTTACTAACCTATACTAGTGTCTATACTCCTAGTGCGTTAGTAGTAATATTTAGCTAGCTACTTACTACACAAATATATAAGTATAGGGCTAGGAAGAAGGTAGTATAGGAACTTACTATATATATAATAATAGAATAAGAATATAGTACTAAGGGTATCTATTACTTCTCTTTACCTAGGGGGCGGCTCTCTCCTATTAAGTAGACTAGTAGGCTAACTTATTCTACTTAGGATTTCTACACTGTCTACTAAAGGGGGGTATAGGCTAGGGCTATTACTATTACCTAGGCTGCTCTCTACCTCCTCTACTATAGGCAGATCTAGCTATCTATTGTCTAGGCAGCCTATATTAGATTCTTCTACTTCTGTATTAGGCTTAAATATATATAGGCCTAGCTCTTTTATATCTGTAGGGTCTAGTGCAGCTAGCGTAGGCGTTAGATATAGTAAATTTAGCTATTCTTCTCTAGGCAGCGTTATATATACTCCTCCTATTAGGTATACTTTATATATAGGCGTACTAGAGGTACAGCTTTCTAGAAATAGGCCTAAAGAAAAGAAAGATTTATCTTACTAGTTACTAAGAGGGCTATTCTTACGCTGCAGTACCTAGGGTAGTAGTAATAATAGTAGTATAGAGGGAGTAAAGCTAGGTAGAATCTAGAACCTAAATATAAGATTTTCTTCTCTTCTTTTATAGTAATTCTAGCTATATATAGCTTAATATTTTACGCGTATTAAGTTCTCTAGGCCGTTCTCTACCTTTCTTTTAGGAGAAGGCATAGTAACAGTAACTCTAGTTAAATAGTTAAATAACAGTAAAAATAGTATAGAGCTAGAGGGTATAAGTTAGCAGAAAGAAGATAGGTAGAATAGTATAAGAAAAGAGTATAAAAGGAATAGTTTATATAGTAGATAGGAATTATCTACTTCTCCTATTACGCCTATTAAGTAAGCTCTTAGTACCTACTTTATAGTTTACTATAGTTACTAGTAAAGTAAAGTATAGGCTCTTAGAGCAGACATAGTATTAGAAATTAATAAGAACTAGGATATATATTATAGATACTCTAAGCGCTAATATTATTCTCTAATACTAAACTCTAAACTATCTTCTAAATAATTTTCTAGCAGTTCTTTATAATAATTTCTATAAAGGTTCTTATTAAGACTCTTTAGAGGGCCTCTTTCTAGACGCCCTAGAAGACCTATAGGAAGAGGCCCTAGAAGACCTATAGGAAAAGTCTCTTAGGCTATTAGAAAAGTGTCTTCTGTTAGATTCTATAGAAGGCTCCTTAGGTCTTCTTATAGAAGTAAGAGGCTTCTCTAGCTTACTAGCTAACTCTTCTAGCTTACTAGCTAACTCCTCTAGCTTACTAGCTAACTTTTCTAGCTTACTAGCTAACTTCTCTAGCTTACTAGCTAACTCTTCTAGCTTACTAGTAGGCTCCTCTAGCTTACTAGCAGGCTTCTTCTATATAATCTAGATAGTTTTAATCTTCTTATCTAGGTTACTAGCTACTATTACACTAAAGCCCTTCTAGGCTATATACTTATCTTATAGTAAGTGTACGTATATAAACGTAAGCTTTAAGCCTCTATTACTTCTAAGTAAGAACTTGTTAACACTCTCTTTTATTACCTTAGATAGGCTATATAAGAATAGATATAGTTTTATAAAAGGGACTGTAATTAGCTTTCTATAGCCTAAGGTGCTAAAGTAGAAACTAAGAGTCTTTCTAAGCTTAGAGAAGCTAAGGTAAGTAGTAAGTATAAGAATAATTAGGTAATAGCCCTACTATAACAGCTAAGACTAGAAGTAGGCTTCTTAGATATACTTTTAAAACTAGCCTAGGGCTTTATAGTAGGCAGAGCTCTTATTACAGTTACCTAGGCTATACTTTTACTTTATATAATATACCTTAGCTATATTATAGTTAGAGTTACTAGGTTACTAAGGCCCTATATCCTTTATACTTTGTTTTGTAAAATCCTAGAGAGTTATTTCTATCTTAACTAGCTTTATATAGGTAATAAAGGTCTAGAAGTATACTTAGGCTATACTCTTATTAACTACGCTAGTAACATAGTTAAGGTAGGTATAGAACTTATCTAACGCTTTAGAAGAACTAGGAGAAGAAGAAGCTTTATTCTACTTTCTTTATAAGGCTTATATATAGCTTCTAGAGTTCTTATAGGTATAGTCTTACATATACAAGATCTGCTGTAGAGCCTATAGAGTAATAAGGCTGCGTAGCTAGGCTTATACTTTCTTTATAAGATCTAGCAGCTTTACGTATATAGGTAGTAGTAGTAAATTACTAAAACTACTAGAGCCTAACTCTACTTATAATTCTAGCTAGCCTTAGTTTTACCTAGAATAGGTAGTATTAGAAGAATCTATACGCTAACGCTTCCTAGTAGGTATCTCTACCTTAACTATAGTAACCTTAGTAGTAACCTCTATAACCTTAGTAGTAACCTTTATAACCTCTTTCTCCTCTTTCTTCTTTTTCTTAATAGAAACTACTTCTACAGCTACTTCTATAGCTACTTCTTCCTCTACTATAGCTACTTCTATAGCTACTTCTACAGCTACTTCTTTCTTTACTACAGCTACTTCTGCAATAACTTCTATAGCTACTTCTTTCTTAACTATAGCTACTTCTATAGCTACTTTAGCCTTAGCCTCTTTCTTAACTGCAATAACTTCCTGCTTAATAGTAGTAACTTCTTAACTATTTTTTTTCTCTATAGTAGAGATATCTACTACTATATTTTTCTCTTCTTTCTCTTCTTCCTCTTCTTCTTCTTCTTTCTCTTCTCTTACTGCTTTTTCTTTTTATTATATAGCAGTTTTATCTAGAATAGTAGTTATTACTCTAAGGAGCTGCCCTTCTAATCTCTTTTCTTCTAGCTCTTCTATCTCCTCTCTCTACTCTTTTATCTCCTCTCTCTACTCTTCTATCTCCTCTCTCTACTCTTCTGCCTACTCTTCTACCTACTCTACCTACTCCTCTATCTCCTCTTCCTTTACTTCTAATTCTAGGGGTAGTGTATATTTTATAATCTAACTTTATCCTATTACTATAATAGCCTTATTATTATCTTTACTCTCTGTATTAGTATCCTTATTACTACTTTCCTTACTAGCTTCCTCTTCTATAGGCATCTTTAGATTTATTTTAATAATAACCCTTACTATACTATACTAGAGGGTAGTAGGCAGCTACTTATTATTAAATACTAAGGAGGCACTTATAATCTTAACTAATTTACCTATATTAGACATAGTCTAGTAGGGGCAAGGTAAGCTTCTATATCTAGAGTTATTAACTATTACTACCTTACTAGAGTAGATTAGCCTTAGTAGGGTTCTAGGAGAGGTAACTTAGTTATTAAGAAATACTCCTTCTAGAAGGTATTACTTTAGAGTAAGAAGAAGCTTATTAAGCTAGCTATACTAGTAAATCTACTATAGTGCTAGTTCTAGATTATAGGCTATAAACAGCTAGTTACTATAGGCTAGTAAAGAGAGGCTATAGTGTTCTACTAGCTTAGTAAAGTAGAACTAGTATATTATAAACTTAGTATTGTATTATTTATCTAAGTAGAGAGAAGTATAGGTAAAGTAGCTAATATAGTTCTAATTAACTTTATAGGGAGTTATAACTAGGCTGTAAAGCTAGGTTAAAGAAGTTATAGTAAAAGGTA